CTTACAAGAGATGCTAAAGGGAGTCCTTTGAACAGAGAACCAAAAATAGCAAATAACAACTGACCATTAATACACAAGATGACACAACCCAGAAACCACAGCTATGGACATATCCAAAGTAAAATGAGTTTACAAGATTGTAAACAGGGAACCAGAGACACCAATTGGCAAGCAAGGACAACTACAAACAAAAAGGGAAAAGATTGTGTAGTTACAGAACTTCTAAATGGTGAGGAAGTTAAGAGAGTTGCAAGATAGAATGGACTGTTCTAAACTCAGGGATAAAATTATAAATCATAGGGTAACCTCAAAGAAAAATGATAAACCTTCACATCACAATAAAAAGAGGACAAGCAGCATATACTAAAACAACAGCAACAAAGGAAATGGTAACACGATTCATAAACATAATGAGCTCAGTATTTGGTATTTTACTTTCTTCCTTTAGCTAGTAAAACCCCTTTTAACTAAATATCATTTTATGAAGATGTACTTTGTGCTGTTGAATCTCCAGCCCAGTTTTGTTAAGAGTGAAGTTTTTCTCTATGAGGGCAAACTCATAATGGAGTGGGAACAAGAATAGGTTTTGCAGATATAATGCTAGAGAACTTTCTGCCTTCCCCAAAATTCTGAGTTCATTGGCCATTTCATAAGAAAATGAAATTTCTAATTTTAAAATGATAATGAATGTCAAGGAAAAAGAAAAATAACTGAAATTAAGATTAATTTCCCCAACCCTATTAAATTCTGCATTTTCTTTTTTAGTATTACAATACTCTGTCTCTGACCTTTTTGAATCCTTGGAGAATAACAACAACAAAAATAACATTTAATTGATTTACAGAAACAGTAATGTACCCTGCATTTCTCCCAAGGGACTATAGGGTTAATGTTACCTGAAGAATTTGTTCTTGGTTCTTGATTCCTAAGAGATAACTTCTAAAATTTTGGAAATTCCCTAGTAATTGAAGTGTCTTTGAGGAGATCTCCAGACCACACCTGAGAGAGTTTATGCCAATGAGGTGCTTCTTGGGCGAGAGAGCTGGCCAAGCCAGAAGATTCATCACATTTTATCAGCCCAACTTTGTTGTTGTTGTTATTTGCCGTCGAGTCAGCCCCGACTCATAGCGACCCCTCCTTGGGTTTCCGAGGCAGTATCATTATGGAAGTAGGATTGCCCAACCTGCCTTCCGAGGAGTGGCTGGTGGGTTTGAACCGCCAGCCTTCTGGTTAGTAGAGCCCAACTTTAGTAGAGTCTAATTCAATCAATCACACCTATGTAATGAGGCCCCAGTAAAGGCTCTGCACATGGAAGCTCCATGGGCTTTCTGGCTAATAATAGGTATTGATGCACATGAGAAGGTGTCCCCATTTGGAACACAGATGTTCTGTGTTGGGAACCCTCCCAGACCTAGTCCTATGCATCTCTACATTTGTATCTTTTTTTTTTTTCTGTAATAAAAAAATAATCATAAGTA